CTTTGTCGTCCTCCTTACAAGAGGCAGTTTTGACTTGAATAAAATGTGCATCCTACGTGGCCTGTCTCTCAAACATAATGGAGAGGAGAAGAATGTCTCCGATCTCGTAGTCCAACGACAGCAACGTCTTGTTGTCCTCCCTGTAGTTGTACTTGGTACTGTGGACACGGGACAAGAAGGTCAATTTCTTGTTCTCGTTGGAGTATACCTTGAACACCCAGTGAGCATCCCTCTTCCGGCTCTCCTGGTAAAAATCTTTAACTAGTGTTACGATCTCACGCATGGTGATGTCGAGCCACCCATATATTTGCAGCTCGTTGCTCTGTACTCCGCTTTGCTTACAAATATTCACGTCCTCCACGTCATTGTACTCATCGTCTAGCTTATAGAACAGGCGCAGGAGAAAGGGACACGTCTTGTCCCTGTTGATCATCCCATTGGGGATACTAACTTGTTCGAATCTGTGTTTACCATGCTGTGGGTAATACTCCTGTCTTCTGGTCTTAATTAAAACGGCCACATCCTTTTTATATTCACTGTGATCGTAGTTGCGCTGCTGATTGGGGCGCGCCATGTGGTTGTACGTGACGTGATCGTACGTGTCGTGGTGGTACGTCGCATGACCTATTCCATCCCCCCTCTCCAAATACATTTTTCTTTTTTTTTCAAACTCACGATGATGTGTCCCTCCATAGGGTTGCCATTCGCGATCCCTAAATATAGGTACTCCCTCCTCGTCCGTCATTCTCGGTCTTCCCTCCCTGAAGGGGTCTCCTCTCTTCAATCTGGAGTGGAAATAATACGTGTCATCGTCCTCATAGCGGTTGTGATGCAGACCCTCCGCCGCTACCCTACCTCCAGTCCTCTCTCGTTTGCTTCGCACCATTACTGCTGTGTCATGATATGACCCCCTTCCTCTGGCTCGAGACCTATCGTCACTGCTAAGTGAAACGGCTAAATCAGTAGACTCCGCATCACTCAAGTAGGCTTTTCTTTTTTTACGTGTGGGGACATGACTTGATCGAGACTGCACTTCATTGGATGTGGAGTCTGTAGTAGACTCATACTCATCTGCATCACTTCTTCTCCCATGTAGGCTTGCCTTATATGCTTTATTTTCTTTTCTTATTTTACTTTTTTTTTTTTTTTCCATTCGTCTTTTTTCGCTACCTCGTTTTTGGTCCCCCTCAAAAATGTTTGTATGTCCCTTCGTGGTACCTTTCTGTGAATGCTTTTTACAAAGCGAACTCCTACCATCATCATGGTCATACATACGATGCTCCTCGGAGGGAGACTCCCCTGAGTTGTCCCTCCAATAATGGTACTTTGCGTTGTTGAATTTATTATCATCTCCGTTGTGCACCCTTGAGTTATGTTTATAATTGTGTTCCTCGGTGCTTCCTCGTTTTGTCCTTCTTCCACTTCGCTCACCTGCCAATTTTTTTTTTTTTTTTTTTTTTTTTCTCTTTGTTGATTCTCCTTCTGAGCTTAGGCTAATTGAGTAGGAAGGGTCTTTGCTTAGTCCCCTGGTGGATCCGTTTTTTTTCTTCGAGACCAAATTTGAAGATCCCCTTTTTGTTTCGTCGTGCCGTTTTTTTCTGTCTCCTTTCTCTTCACCATACCTATGATGGTGGTTTTTACTGGAAGGATAATCACTGGTGGCCTTTTTTTGAATTTTCTTTTGCCGCTTGTAATTAAAATCGCTCATGCTCTCTAAGTCTATATCATCATCGGTGTAGCTGCTAGACAGGCTGAAGCTGCTCAGCTTGCTATATCGTCCTCCTCCGTCCCCTGCTCCATCTCCCATCTTGTGCTTCCTTTTCTTCTTGACCTCCTTCTTCCTTTTGCGTTCTTTTCGCTCTCTGCCGTAGCGGCTTTCTCCACTGCTGGCGCGTCCACGGCGGATGTCGCTTCTGCGGCGGCTTCCGCTTCTACCATGGCTGCTACTCCCACGACGCCTTCGCTTCTCCCCCTTGTGCCTCTTCACTCTATGGCTGCTACTTTTTTTATCCATTTTCTTTTCGCTCTTCCTTTTCACATCCTCTGCATTAGCGACATCGCTAAGGGAGTGTAGACTCATGCAGCTTGCATAGGACTTTTCAGACGCGTCCTCTTTTGTCCTCCTCTTATACTCCTTACGCGGTTTCCCCTTTGCACTCGCTTTATCATGTTCACTTGTACCTTCACTGGGCTCCACGTCTTCCTTCACGAGGTTATCTGTCTCGTTCGTAACATCGCTCCTCGACCTTAACTTAACTTCTGAACCCTCGTCGCTTCCCCCACCTTTCTCCACGAGATTTTCTTTCCCTTCTTCATTGTCGCTGTTGTTCCCCTTGTCGTTTTGCAGAAAAGAACTCTCCTCGCTGCTGCTCATTTTTGGGTAGCAAATGTGACGGTGTGTGGGAGGATCACTTTTTTCCTATCCTGTCTTTTGGTGACCCTTTCACACGTGTATAGGGGTTGCGTCTCCCAATTTACACTTTGCCCCTATAAGCAGTTGTGTTTCCTTAACTCGAAATACAAAATGAGGAGAGTAACTGTTGTGCGATTTGACCAACTAACAAGAAAAGCAAAATCACCTTTTTTGTTTTGAACTAAACCAACCTTTGCGCTAACATGGGAGAAGCTACAACCACTCAGTGAGGCGGCGTCCTTACTTGTGCACATGACAAAAAAAACGAGAAGAAGTAATTGCGGACGTGCAGAAGGACCTACTTTCAGAGTGGAGAAAACACGCTCATCAGGATCACGCACGAAGCAGCTACAATTCATATTAACCCTTTGGAGGGGGGGAGGTGTAGGTACCCAACGTAGGGATAACAAGCTGTAACGGATCGGCACAAAAAAAAAAAGGAGCTTGTTTACGCGAAGCACGCTACACGCTGTTTTATATGTACCCCATGTCGATTTGCCCCCCTTCTTCAATAAAAGCAGTTTCAAACGACTTTCTCCCTCTAATAGGCAAGAGGGAAAAAAAAAAAAAAAAAAAAAAAAAAAGAATGTTTTTTCATTCTTTGTGGGTCAATCCAATGTGAAGATAGTATGATCGGGATATCTCATCTCCACACGTGGCTTCTAAACAAATGGAAATAAATGTAAAAACGGGACGGTCACATTTTAGCGATCGCTTCAGGTAGGTAACCGCCGCAACCGTTGGTCATCACACATATGCCTACACAAGCACCTCTGCTGTTTTTTTTTTTTTTTTTTTTTTACAATTCCAATTTAGTTATGTGCGGTGGAACAAAATAAAGAGAAAAGAAGAAACACCCATCCACCTAAAACAGTTTGCTACGCCCCTGCGCATTTCCCATCACCCCATACGGAAAGAAGGCCGAAAAGGGAAATAGTAACTGTAGAGATTGTGGGTGAGGAACACGCTGATCTCACTCAATGTTGTTCTTTTTTTTTTCTTGTTTCATTCTGCCCCCATTTTAGGCACATTGTGGGGGGTAACCAACCATTAGCAAACCCCTGCCACGCACATACATCAGAATGCAGCTAGCCAAGTGTGGGAAGCAATTCGAAAAAAAAAAAAAAAAAAAAGATGAAGAAACCCAGCAGAGAAACACTGGGCGAATGTGACGGGGAGGATGTGACCGGGACGGGTCCGTTTCAAATTCATTTTCCCTCTTGCGAATGCCACAGTTGGCCTACATTGGTCATCCCTGTTAACGCTTGGGAGGGTCTACACGCAGGTTCCGTCTCTCACCTCTTACTATTCGTACCAAATGAATGCCTACCCGATCTGACGCATGAGTAACGCTACCCCAATTGTTTCTCCTTCGAGTAGCAGGTGTTTTATGAATATGCGGAGTGTTCCCAGGGGGTAGGCGTGTGTCATCACGTTGTTTTCACTCAGCTAAGCAATAATCAAATGGTCCCCCACTTCATTCATCTTATAATACGTTTTGCACGGTGCAATTTTTTTTATATTATTATGGTACATGCTTACAAATGGGGCAGAGGACAAGATGGTCACAAATTCCCTTCGAATGGCAGACAAAGTGGCCACCTCTCCTTTGTAGAATCACCCCCGTCATGTAAATGAGCCATTGCGTATTGTCCATGAGGGGAAAGCTTAATGGGGGATAACACGTGTGTGTAATTCAAAGAGATATGCGTCGACTGGCTGGCTATAACTTCGCACAGTGGGGGAAATCAAACAGGGCGGAGGCGCACTTCTATATGCTCCCTCGTTTGTGCGCACAGCCAGGACTGTCAACATTCTCACAAAGTGAGCCGTCCTCACTTTCACCGCTTCGTTACGCTTCGTTAAGCCGCATCACCACTGGGCCACCTTTATTTGTTCCACGTGCCAAATCTGTGGGTGTGAAATTCCCCATCGTGCAGCACATGCATAAGGGAGAAGCAGCGTCGAAGACCACACAGGGGTGGTAAGCATTGCCTGACGTGTGTACGTGGGGGGGGGGGGGACAAAACTTTGACCTGCCGGAAATGAACTTTTTTTCACCTCCACCTAAACTGACTAGAGGCTCGAACTGCAATGCGCCTCGATACGTACACGTGATTTATTTCCAGCCGCGCCCTTTCCCCGTGACGCACTCGCGTAGCATATGGGGGGGGAGGGGAAAAGCATACACGCACGACAAACTTATACACACGTGTACATGGATAACAAAAAAGCAGCGTACGCAATAACGCATTCTTGTGAAATGGTTTAAACAGAGTCAAGTTGAGAGGGAACAAAGTCTCCATTTTGTGTATCCTTCGGATTTGTCAATTTGGTACATGGCAGCATTTTTTTTTTTTTTTTTTTTTTTTTTTTCTGATTGAAACTGTGACCGCGCGGGCAGAAGAAGGAAAAAAAAAAAAAAAAATGAACAGCGAAATGGAGGGAAAAGTTAACTAAATCGCATCAATTGTTAAATACCTGTATTTAAATCCCCTCCTGCGTGTGGGGGCGTGTATTCCTGTTCTCATGCATATGCACACAGCTGCGCGCCCTCTGGCGCCGTTACTACCCCAGGACTGACGTGACGCCTTTGCTCACGTTGACGCGACCACGTCTATAAGGAGGGATTAGGGGCGGTCATTATAAGGAGTAGTTTGCGGCGGTCATATAAGGCGGGATTGGCGACGGTCATATAAGGCGGGATTAGCGGCAGTGATACAAAGCGCGTTTGGTAGCACGGCACCCCCACCGCACCCCCCGCAACAATGACGGTGAAGAACACGCTGTTCATCTTCGGGTCAGGTGAGTGCGGCCAGCTGCCGCCCGAGTACTGCGCCGATTATGTGCAGGTGAACCCGACTGCCGTGCGGAACCTCCCCAACGACATCGACCAAGTCGTTTGTGGATCCATGCACACAATTATAAAAACGAAGGACGACAAGCTGTTCTCCTTCGGATGCAACGACATGGGTGTCCTTGGCCGAAAGACTCATGCCAATAGTACCAAGGACCCTGAACACTCCCCAACCTTACTCAACTTCACCTGCAAGTCAAAGATTAAAAAAATCAGTTGCGGCGATAACCACACAGCAGTTTTGTTAGAAGACGGCAAGGTCTACATTACTGGTGGGTTTAGGGATTCCTGTGGAGTCCTAGGCCTTCCGTCCTTCCAGAAGAGAGGGGAAATAATACCAAAATCGGAGGAGTTCGTGCAGGTAAATTTTTCGTACGCTCACGATGGAAGTGCGCTAGATGGTTACAATGACGAGGTGGAAAACCCCAATCATGAAGAAGTAATAATAAGTAATATAATATCAGGAGAAGACCATTTGATCTGCTTAGAGCAGAGCGGAGAATACATTTATACCATGGGGAATAGTGACTCGTGTCAAGTGTGCAACTCGTTCTACGATATAGAATTTGCTCCCGAAGTAAGGAACAGGTATATTTTTCCCAATCGCTACCATTTTAAAGATCTTGGGTTCGCCTCCAAGTTTAGGAATATATATTGTGGTGGTAATAATACCTTTGTTCAGTTAGAAGCATCACTAGACGTGTATGCAATTGGAAGAAATGCTTACGGATCATGTGGTGTGTCGATGAGAGACAATATTATAAAAAAATTTTCCAAAATTGAAGAATTGTGTTCAAAAGAAATTGCAGAATTGTGTGGTGGACAAAGCTTTACCGTTTGTCTACTTAAAAATAATGACCTGTACATTTGGGGCAACCGAGAGATATTAGGGATGGAGTGTGAAGAGGATGCTTACTCTCCTCAAGAATTGACCTATTTTAAAAAAAAAAAAATTCTTATTAAAACTATTTCTTGTGGAACAGATCATTGCTTAGTGTTGACCGACAGTGGACAGCTCTTTGGTTGGGGCACAGGAGGAAATGATTTTGAAGAAGACACATGCATCGCTGTGATTGAGAATAATCAGCCCTCTGAAATTGCCTTCCACAATTTCGTGACCACAACTTTTACTAAAGGGAGGAAAGAAAGCGAAGTGTCCATTAGCCAGATACAAATTCTTTCCTTTGCAGGAGGATCATCCCATTGTGCTTTTATTACATCTCATGTGGACTCAGACAGAATGTCTATTAAGAGAGGCCATGATGAAATTTATGAAGAGGAAAATATGTTTTCGAAAAAACACAGAAGGGAAAACTTCCCTCAGATGGACAAACCTGAACAGTTAGAAGATAAGGGAAATGAAGAAGAAAATAAAAAGGGAAGCTTCTTCAAAGACCTTTTTTACAATCCACACACACCAGTCAATAGTAAGTACTATATGCACTCAAAGGATTTGGAAAATATGGACAGCGATCTTGTGGGCACCGTGGAGAAAACCACTGTCAGCAAAGATGCACACAAAAGGAGAAGAAGCGTTAAGAGTAAACCCTACTTAAGCAGTGAAAGTCCGACTAGGAGACAACCGAGGAGGTCCTGCAAAGAAAATATTAACCTTAGTGAAAAGGCTCATAGACAATTCTACCAAATTGTGGACACCCCTATTTCGAAGAAGAAACGGAAGACAACACCCTCTTCTTCTTCTATGAGGAACAGGAGCGTTAGGATCATGGGGTCTCCTCCATCGGAGAGGACGAACAAAGCTAGGTCGGTTGGTGCAAAGAGAGAAAGCGTAGGAAGGTCCTACTCTAAAGGGGACAATTGCAAACGTGAATCCTCTTCGCACACACCCGATGCGAAGGGTGTCCGAGGCAAGTCGTCCAAAATGAAGAATTAGATGACTCTTCCCCAGGGGCATTCAAAAAAGGTTCTCTCTCTTTTTTTTTTCCCCCCCTTTTTTTTTCCTTTTTCTCATTCGTGGAGCAGATGTGTATGACTTCCCTATGCAGTGACGCGTACGACATGAACGCGTGTTGTAGTTTGCCATGCTCTGGAGGTGCCCTCGCGCTCACACAGATGCTGTGGTACTGTATTGTTAACCTCACCCAATGAGCCATGCATTTTATGCTATACCTATCCCACCTCATTTCGTTTGTTTCATCATGCTTAAACCCTCTCTTTTTAGTGCATCTGGTTTTAAGAAGCGCGGCAGTTGTGTCACCGTTTGGGTGCCCATCATTTCTGTTCATTTTGTGCATAGGGGCATTACGAAGGATGCCTGGCGTGGCGCATCTAACGTGGGCGTTTTACTCACGCATGTTGTGTCCCTTGTTTTTCTGCCCCTTCCCACCTTTAGCCATTTGTACACTATCAGAATTAATAAAGCCAAAATTGTATTGCTAAAAAAAAATACTATTCCCTCCGTCCCCTACTCTGTCGCACGGGGAAGGGGAAAATCTCGTTCGCCTTGTCCACTTTGTACGTGCACATAATGTGAGCGTTTATTGTTACGGTTGGTGGAATGGTTTGCGTGGTTTTTTAGACTTGCGCACATGTCGGACAATAAGAAATCGCTCCTAGCAGGTTAAGCGCCATTGGGCGGTGCGCATATATGCATATATACACCTATGTTACCTACCTTTAGCACTGGTGCGAAAGGGTCATGCCATGGCTGCTTCAAGTGAACTGCACCACCTGACCAACGAATGACCCATAACGCTTGAGTGGTCTCTTTCTCCAAAATTGATGCATAGGAATGTGGAGGATCTGCTTTTCTTTACAGACTTCATTGAGAACTACCTCCCATGCAATAAGGGTGCTTGTTGAGTGGCTATGAAAAGGGTGCAAGGGGCACCATCTCTCTGCAGCGAATTTCATCCTACATGTAAGCGTTGTCATGTAACGGGTCGCAAAGCGGCCCAACAGTGTTACCCATCGGAACGCTCATTTTCTACGTGTGCAAATGTTTTTTTTTTTTTTTTTTGTATGAACAAGCAATATAATTATGGACCCATTTTTCGATCCCTTTTGGCTAGCTAAACCGTTTTTTTTATGAACACGAAATGTAATATATGTAGCTTTTTTTTTTTTTTTTTTTACCACGCTTAGCCATTTTTGTATGAACAGGCAATAAAATTTCCACCATTGTTTCTCTTTTTTTTTTGTGTGTTCCCCATGCTAGTATGCGAACAGTGCACATGATGAAATGTTCCCAAGTACAGGCCTAGGGTTTTCCCACCGCGTGTTCAGTTGTTCACGCTTCAGTGGGAGATAAAACTGTGGGCGCTTAACGTTTGGATGGGTTTATTTCATGCAACTCGTTGTGGAGAAGCAGATTCACGCACACGTCAGGCGAAGAAGCATGTACCAATTGGGGCACCCGCCATCGCTGTAGAAACGCTTGCACACGTGCACACCTGCACGCTTGCAAATGTGGATGGAGTTTTAACCTCTACGCAACTTCGATGCGCACTCTGGGATGTTTCCGTGGTGAAAAATATATATCCTATTTTCCATTGTAAGTAAGAACAAGACCTGGTCACTTTTATATTTTTTTATAAGCCGAGCTGCAACCTTAATTCCGTTTCAAAGAACAAAAAAAAGTATATGATTTATGGGGAATCAGCCACTCATTGAAGTAACCTTTTTTTTTTTTTTTCTCCTCTGGATAGGAAAAACCCATTTGGCTCACCATGGTTAAGTCACCCTTTTACAGCTTTAACAAGAACTCGTTGCTGGTGCAGTGCTTCAAGGGGGCGTGTGTCTACTACATTCCGCAGAACTTGATCGTTATAGGCGCTTTTCTGTATTACCAGTACAGGGTATGACCAAGAGGGGTGGAGCCGTGCGATGGAGCAGTCACAAGAAGCACTGCGTCGATCGTTCCCTCATTGTGTGCACAAAATGGTGCTACGTAAGAGGCATTTGTGGGAACCCCTCCCCGATGGAGCCACTATTATTATATAGTTAAATATTATTTTTTCATTTTTTTATTTTATTTTTTTAGGCGAGCGAACTGACGGGCGGCAAGTGTGTGCCCGTGGAGAACTGCGACAAATCGATAGACAATTTTTTGGCGGCGAAAAAGTTAAAGCGCGATGAGGTAAAAGTGGAGCAACGGAAAAATGTGTGCCACGTGTCCCTGACGTAAGGAGGCAGAGGGCCTGGCAGGGTAACGCAGCACAGCCGCTTCACACGTGGGAGCTAAAACTGCGCAACGAAGTTATCAACGGCATCGTCGATTTTCTTCAAAACGGTTAAGCTCTCATGCGTGGGGAAGGAATCATAGAGCTTGTCCAAGTAATCACTGGCCTCCTCCAGCTCGTATAAATACAAAGAGCATGTGATCAAATTGTAAAGGGCGTCCCCATTTGTGGGATCCTCCTTGAGTGCATTCTTCAAAAACTCTTTCGCATCATTAAACTCGTAGTTTAAAATATTCGACACACCCTTCCCATTAAGAATGACAGTGGACACGTCGTTCACGATTGATCCACACATGGACTCCAAATCATCAAATATTAAAAAGGCTTCTTTTTGATTTTCTGTATAGAGGTAAAATATGGCTAGGATAATTTTTACAATAGGTATTTCGTCATTCATCCTTTTGTATTCTTCTATCATTTGTATCACCAAGTCAGGTCGGTTGATGAGGAGGAGAAGGACGATTTTGGCCGACGTCACTTCTATTGGGCCATCTGCTAACAACTCGAAGCACTCCTGTAACTTGTTGCACTCGAATAGGAGTCTACTCTTTAAGATGTTTCCATTGGGGGAAGTTATTTTCATTTTTTCCACCTCGCTTAGTAGCGCCTCTGCCTCTATGGCGTTACCCTCCTTCGCCTTCTTCTCCTTCAAGTAATAATGCTGGTAGTATTTGCACAACCATTGGAGGTTCTCATTGGGGGACTTTTTCAAACCTAGCAGAGCATCCTTCTCGTTCCTCCGCATGTATATTTGATATATGTACTCCTCCGCTTCCTTCCGCTCTTCTTTGCTGGCTGTCTCGAAGTTCCTCAGGCAGTAGTTCTCGTACCCCGCGTAGAAGAAGTCACGAATCTGGGGAAGAGGAAAGTTCAAAGTGGGGTGGGGCGTGTAGTCATCATCTGGTCGCTCCGCGTTCATGCATTACCGCAGCATCTTTTATTAGCGTTACTCACCTGCAGTGTGCCATCCATGGCGCTCGTCCCAAGGGGTGGGTGGATACGCGTCGGGTCAAGGGGGGGGAACGCGTGCCCAGCCAGGCACGTTTGGGTTTGCAAATGGAACAAAGTAGTTAAACTAACAATGCTCTCTTACGGGACGAATTGGCGAAGAGATGAGGGGGGGCCGCGCACTTTTCCTCCCAATCGTGCGCTTAAATGAACGCTAAACGTGCATTTCCATCTGGCAAAAAAAAATTAACCTTTTTTTGGTATATTTTTTTTTTTTTTTTTATATATATATTTCTGTTCGCCCCTTGGGCACGGATGATTAACGACCAACGGCAACGCCCTCTTGTACGCATATGAATTTTTGCCACCCCGCCAAGAGATATTTTTGTACGCGAATGGGCACGGCTTGATTATCCTGCTGAAGGGTCACTCCCACGCTACAGACCGCTACTTTACAAAGGTGCCCTTTTTGCATGTTAAAAGTGGGAGTATAGTAGTAACAGTCGTAGTGGTGACGAGTGAAAAGGGTATATCACATCCTGTCACGCGCGAACTCGTTCATCCGCCTTTAGTCCATATCGCATTGGTATGGAAAAAAAAAAAAAAAAAAAAAAAAAAACATCGTCTTAAATTGGGTGGACATGCAAGACGTGGCTCGAAATGGCACAACAACTGTTGCTTGGGCGTGAAAAAAAAAAGAAAAAAAAAGCACACACATTTTGTACGTATATAAAAGGAGGTGGAGGGCGATAAAAATGCAAACGCACAGTGGATATAGGTTCTTTTAAAAAGGCATGCTCCACATATGAGTTGCAAAAAAATAAAAAAAAAGGAAAAGAAAGATACACAACCAAATGACACAAAAACATTGGGCTTCCAGTTCGCTTCACCAATCGGTATCCCACTTGGCACGGATCCCTCGACGCAAGAGGGGAGATATATATAACACGTATATTTCATGGTTTTTATTTGCTCACAGGATGGGCCGCTAAAACGGGTGGTGCACCCAAGGGGTTCCTAGCATGAAATGACGCACACAAAAAACAAAAACGCCCCACAAAAGAGAGCAACCCACCACTATGTAAGCTTCTGCGTAATGAGCATGCCTATCAGGTTGGCCTCTTGCAACGTCTGATCGGAGCGCTCAATTGGCTTGAGGGGGAAATCAAAAAAGAGAGAAAAATTTATTGGGGTGTAGCTATGCACGAATTGAAACAAGTCCTCCACTGTATGGTCATAATTAAATTTGTGAGAAATTTTTTTTCCATTATATAATCTAACATGTAATGTGGTAATCGGCTTGGAATCGTCTACATGGATGTTCTTCACATCAGTGGGGGAAGATGCTTCGAGTTTTTTTATTTCTTCTTCACTAACACTTGGTGTTTTACTGGACCCTAACTTGACTCCTTGTCCTTTGTACGTTGTATTAGTATTCTCCGTTTTCTCCTTTGTGTAGACCTCGTTGCTCTTATCCTTTAAGGCTACATTCATCGTTTTGTCCTTGCCAGCAAATTCCTTGGGTAATATGCCTGCCTCAATGTTTTGCATGAACTTTTTATTTTCTTCAATATTTAAATCGCGGAATTCTCCATCATCTACAATGAACCCATTTTTATATAACGTGATGCGTCTACAGTTTTCTGGCAGTTTGGACGTGAAGAAACTTGGGCCCATATCATCATCTGAGTTCTCCACTTCAAGTCCGCTATTCTGACCTCCAGTATAATGCGCTACGCGCTCCTTGTTTTTTTTTTCGTCCTTCCTCAGGTCGCTAAGGGATCTACAGCGGGGTGTACAAAAAATGGGATTTTACATGAAGGAAGAGAAATGAAGCGACACACAAACTGTTCTATTGTTACGGCAGGGAAAGGAGGGGGCTCCCCCCCTCGCCATTCGCCTATATGTGTACAAGCAGAATGCTTCTCCTTGTCACACACACACAGGGCGGACTTAACGGGGGTACACTTTTTATGTGCGCAAAAACGCGCCTTCTTTTTAAGCTTCACTTTCGGGGAAACACAGAACAGAAATGCAAATCGCTCCCATACACATGCAAGCGTTCCCTCACGAACAACATTACATACCGTATGTTCGACATGGTTCCCGAGCTTCGCAAATGATTGTTTTTTAACTTTGGGGGAAGTTATTCAAATTGGAGGAGTTTCACCAGCAGGGAAGCCTCTCAGCAACTCTTACAAAGGTGTAACGTATTTTTTTTTTTTCTTTCTCTTCTTTTTTTTTTTCTTTTTGCATCAGTGGGGAAACAAAAAAAAAAAAAAAAAAACCACTCAGTTAACCTTTGGCATAAACGTTTGACTTAAATTTACGCGAAGCTAGGCGAGCTTTCCTTTCGCCACTCGGCGGGTATGCCTGGCACGTTCACGCAAGGATGAAGCGCAGACGGGAGCGCACAAGGGACAAAAACGGCGAAAGGCAACCAAAAGGATGGCAAAAAAGGATGGTGAAAATTTCCCCACAGAATTGAAAAAAAATATACGGTCAAAAATTATGCCGACAAAATTGTTCCCATTTTTTGCGCCCACAGTGGGGGCTTGCGCGTGCAGGAAAAAAAAACGTTCCTTTTTTTTTTTTTTTTTTTTTTCCTCTAATCGTGCAATAACCGAAGAGGGATAATTATTAAGGGGAAATAAAATCGGAAAAAAAATTATCGAGGAGGAAGCGCAGCATAGAGGTGATGATGAGAAATAAAGAAATGGTCCAGTTCATACATTTTTTCCCCATTCGATTGGCATTGCCTTTTTTCTCATCGCATGTAGAGGGGGGAGTTCCACATTGGCGATCTGTTCATTCTCGCGCATTTATGTCTTGGTGCCCTTTCTTTAGGGGATCTCCCCCAGACCAATACACAACTAGAGAGGATGTCAAAGGGGAACGCGCAGAAGGGGGGGTGGGGACTCATCAGCGGAATTGTTCCTTGTCCGCTCTAAATGCAGACCGTTTGTCGCAGAAAGGCAGGAGAGAGGAGCCTCGCGCAGTAACGCGGTGATAAGTTCGTAATAACATGCTAATATAATGATCCATCCATTAGTACTGTCCCCCTCGAGTGAACAAACACGCGAACAAATACATAAACGTGTAGGTGTGAGCATCGAGTTGAAACAGTTTGATGCCTCCCTGTAGACACACTTGCGGAACCGCGGCGATTTTTCCAGTCACGGCCTCACTTTTGTGGAACATGGTGGGAGAATAACGAAATGGGAAAAACGTGTAAGCTCTTTCAGAACCGCCAACGACGGCGTGATGTCCAACTGATGGTTAAACAGCGTCCCCGCCGAAAGAAGAATCACTGAAGAAATAGGGGTACGCAAAAAGTGTGCATATTTATGTTTACGCTTATGTTCACCCGTGTGTATATTTTTTTTTTTTTTTTTTTTT